TTTCAACACTGCATGTTCTTATTTCAAATGCCCAAAATTGACTCTATCTGTCTGTTTATCTATCTCGTTTGTTTTTCAATCTGTCTGCCTAACTACTGACCTACTAAATCTCTAAAGAATCTAGCTGTTTATCAATCTCGTATGTCTTTCTGGCTAATTATTGTAAAGAAAAATAATGGAGCCCAGAGAATGAATCTGTTCCACTGAAATGTACAGAGCAGACTCTATCGCTACACAGTGAAACTAACCTGGGAAAAATCAGATAACGATCGGATTACTTCATAGTATGCATTTCTAAAGACGAGACATAATCAAGTGATTCAAGAGGTGAGGAAAAGGCGCTGCCACTGAATATGACACGCATTTAGACAATTTAATAGGCCCACTGCCTACCCAAAAGTATGTCGTAGGAGTCGACTAATTGGGAGCTTCCTTTCAAGTCGGAGTGCATCTGACTGAGAGGCAAGGAACCAGCAGTCTGCATACAAAATAGTCAGCTCTGTAAAACGGATGGTCACGCAACACTCAGGTTCTGGAACAGAACTGCAATCCAAAAGTGGATGAACAACCAAAACTTTCCGCCAGAGTTTACAGCTGGTGAACGCGAAGAAGAAAGAAGAATTAAATAACATGGGTAGAAGGGCGGTATATGGTAAATGACATGGGTAGAAGGCCAGTAGATGGTAAATGACATAGGTAGGAGGGCGGTAGATGGTAAATGACATGGGTATAAGGCCAGTAGATGGTAAATGACATGGGTAAGAGGGCGGTATATGGTAAATGACATGGGTATAAGGCCAGTAGATGGTAAATGACATGGGTAGAAGGCCAGTAGATGGTAAATGACTTGGGTAGAAGGGTGGTATATGGTAAATGACATGAGTAGAGGGGCGGTAGATGGTTAATGACATGAGTAGAGGGGCGGTAGATGGTAAATGACATGGGTACAAGGGCGGTAGATGGTAAATGACATGGGTACAAGGGCGGTAGATGGTAAATGACATGGTTAGAAGTGCGGTAGATTGTAAATGACAAGGATAGAAGGGCCGTAGATAGTAATTGACATGCAAGGCTGTATATGGTAAATAACATGGATAGAAGGGCGGCAGATGGTATGTGACATGGGTAGAAGGGCGGTATATGTTAAATGACATGGGTAGTAGGGCGGTGGTTGGTAAATGACATGTGTAGAAGGCAGATATATGGTAAATGACATGGGTGGGAGGTCGGTAGATGGTAAATGACATGGTTAGAAGGCCAGTAGATGGTAAATACATGGGTAGAAGGGCGGTAGATAGTAAATGACATGTTTAGAAGGCCGGTAGGTGGTAACTGACATGGGTAGAAGACCGGTAGGTGGTAACTGACATGGGTAGAAGGCCGGTAGATAGTAAATGACGTGGATAAAAGGGCGATAGATGGTAAATGACATGGGTAGAAGGGCGGTAGGTGGTGAATGACATGGGTAGAAACGTAGTAGATGGTAAATGACATGGTTAGAAGTGCGGTAGATGGTAAATGACATGGGTAGAAGGGCTGTATATGGAAAATAACATGTGTAGAAGGGCGGTATATGGTTAACGACATGGGTAGAAGGACAGTAGATGGTAAATGACATGGTTAGAAGGGCACAGACGTGTTTAGAAAAGAAGAATAGGTTTTCTGCTTCTTCTTCAGAGATCTCTGGTCACACGCCTAATCAACTATCGTCCATAAACTCGGATGTCAGCTCAGGGTCTTTAAAGTTGCCACTAAAAGCTTTTGTTGTGAGGTCTACTGAGCGTGGCCACGTGTTGCTTTGCGGCTCTTTCAGGAGAGTGCAGTCTTGTAGGACATGCACTGGAGCGTATCCAGCAAGAAGACATTAGTAGAGAGCTGAGCGTCTTATTTATCATTTACACACTCGGCTGACTCTGTTTCTGGACAGGGCGGTGAAAATTTATTCGAGTGTTTGTTGAATTCACGGCCTTCTCTATTTATAGGCCTTACAGGTCAACGAGGATTTCCGTTCTTGTGCAAGAATTTAGTCCCTCTGCGTCCACAGTTTTTATCTATGTATACACAAATTAAACTACAGTTTCATAAATTTTTGACATATGTTATAGAACTATACGTCATTTTCAAGGTAAATAAGTGTGCCAATTAAATATAACAATAAAGGCTCTTACAGACAAACAAAAATGCTTTTGCTACAGTCAACATGAACATAAACATCAATAACGTTTCGTTATAACTAAAAGTTGTTCCAGCAAAAGTAAAGAAATATCTTTGCTAACTCTTTGATTCTGAGAGGGTATTGTTGCATCAGAGGAGCGGGGGTGGGGGAAGGGTGACATTTGTACTTTATCAAATTTAGCGCATAAAAATACTGCTGTGAAACATACACATATCATACACAACATGAATATAAATTATTGATGGTTATTATTATTAGTAGTAGACTACTACAACATATAATTATACTGTTATTTAATAATTAGTAAACAAGCACATTCAGTATGAAATTGATACGTGCAATACTTTTTTTCACCCAGAGTAGTTTTCTTAACAGTACTTATAGCACTACTAAATATGTATCCTCAAGGTATAAACAGCACAAACAAATTTGTCCAGTTTCATCTTGTTGGATGCAATCAATTTCTTATCATTGCGAATTTTTTGGTAACAAATATGCATACGAAGTGGATAAACATCAGGAAGTTTCCACAAGAGTTTACAGCCAGTGTTCGCAAAGCAAAGCAAAAGCCAATTTGTAAGATTTCTACATTTAAAGTAGAAAAGTAATAAACAGCTAGTTCCCCAAACTCCGAACTACAGACTAGAAACAGTGACACTGACACACACATCACAACACGACTGTCTCCAGTGAATTAAAATTAAAATTGCTGTAACCTAACAACAAAGTATGAAAATCTTGTATATCCCCTTTATAATATCCGCTTGTCGATTTGTAATACGAATACAATCAGAACACAGAAGTTTGTAAGCACAATGCAACATGGAAACGCTTCAAGTAACCTATTTTCGAGGGGACTCAGCCAAAATATATCGTGATTCAGTTGTTAGGTATTATTAGAGAAGGCAGTGGGTTGTTTTCATTCACTGGATCAAATCCCGATGGGAAGTCCTCGTTGTACGTCTTCCCCTTCTTTTTTGCGTTGACGGGTTGTAAAGTCGGTGCGGAAAGGTGTGTTTGGTCGTCCAGTTCTTGACCCAAGTTCTCTTCCAGAACTTAGGTGTAAATCCGTTTCACAGATCTGACTTATTTGTATGCAGACTGTTGTTTCATGGTCTCTCAGGTAAATGGACTCCGACTTCAAAGGAAACTTCGCCTTCTACGACATGCTTGTGAGGGAAATAGTGGGTCTATTTTTGTTTTTCTTACAAGAATGGGACCCCGGAAGTTGTATATCCATTTCTGGACTTCGGCTTTGTTCCAGGACTTAAGTTTTACGTGCTCATCAGTTTTATAAAACTAGCTAATTGTGTGTAGTTTATTGAGCCCTTGACTTTCAGACAGATGCGCTCCGACTACAAAGAAAAGACTGTTTGTTCAGTGTGCAATAAGCCGCATTTTCTACTTGCAATAAGTCTTGCTTTTTATAAGCTGTGCTTTCACTACTCGTCTTCTAGAAATTGATGTGTTTAGTTGATGATATTACTCACATTCAGATGACATAACTGTGACAAGCCGACACCGACTCTAAAGTACAATACAGTTTATTGACATCTAATCACTTACATATATTGTCCCGTCCATGTCCTAATCAACAGCTTTCACACACCACATTGTTCAGACGCCAACACGCTGACTCCTCACACATTCTCGAGCAAGGGTTCTACGTCTTCAATTCCACATCGCCGCATAGATGGATCTGATCATTGCCTCAAGCTTCACACAACTTGGCTTGGCTGGACTTGGCTTCGATGGATATTGTCGTCTGGTCTTCCACTTGCAACAATCAGTTTCACGTTCTCTCTCTCACGAACACTCTCACGTCCTCTCGTTCTGACGGTCAAAACATACTGTCTGATCAGACTGGGGTCTGATTATATACCCAGTTTCGTTCCACGTGGCAACACGTGGTTGTCCTTGGGTTCCACGTGATAACTCGATGTCGTCCCCTATCTTGAAAACCTCGGTTAATCCGAGTATCTGGCTTCTCTCGGTATTACTGTTAGCTTGGGGCTTTCCCCCCAACCTTCCCAGTCAGGGTGAAAATATCCCCCATTACACAGTGTATAATGTAAAATTGCAAACTGAAAAATGGTGTCTGGTGACTTCGTCTCTGGTGACTTGGTCTCTGATGACTTGGTGTCTGGTGACTTGGTCTCTGGTGACTTGGTCTCTGGTGACTTGGTCTCTGGTGACTTGGTCTCAGGTGACTTGGTCTCAGATGACTTAGTCTCAGGTGACTTGGTCTCTGGTGACTTGGTCTCTGGTGACTTGGTCTCTGGTGACTTGGTCTCAAGTAACTTGGTTGTTCAAACAGCAGAAAACGACGAGAATACATACAACAAAAACAAGATTAGTTTGCCCTTTTTTCCCCATGAAATGGTTTATTCCAACAGTTCTCAACCTATAGGTCGCGATCCCTTTTTTTGGGGTCAAAAAACCCTTTCACAGGGGTCGCCAAAGAACATCTCAAAACACATTTCCATTAAAGTTATGAAGTAGCAACGGAAATAATTATATGCCTGAGGGTCGCCACAGCTTGGGCACCTGTATTAAAGAGTCGCTGCAGTAAGAAGGTTGAGAATCACTGGTCTATTCGACTATACCAGTCTTTCCCAAACTGTTGTTGGTCGCAGCGCCTATTTTTCAATTTAAAATTTTCCACGCGCCCTAAACGCGCTTCCTACACCTAGGTAAAAGTATGACTATTCGTGTTTAAGTTAAATTAATTATGAAAGTTTTACAAAATTTCGCGGTGCTCCTGTGAAGAGGTCTCGGCTCCCCGGGGCGCCGCGCGGCACAGTTTGGAAATCACTGGACTATTTTATAAATGAGTCTCTGGTAACGATTCAGAAAACAGCTGCTCTAATCCAGGCGTGGCGTCAATTTTGCTGTCCAGACTCCTGGCAACGCAGCAGTCATGTGTTGTCTCCAGGATGGTCTGTGGGGATAAGATCCAGTGGTACAAGTGGGCACCAACGAGCGCCCCACAGCAGGGACCCACCCAGTAGACCTACAGCAGCAAAGATAGATGAAGAAACAGACAGACAGTTACAATGATGATTCACACCAGCACACATAGATAAAGAAGCAGTCAGTTACAAGGATTATTCACACCAGCACACATAGATAAAGAAACAGTGAGACAGTTACAAGGATTATTCCCACCAGCACACGTAGATAAGGAATCAGTCAGACAGTTAAAAGGATTATTCACACCAGCACACATAGATGAAGAAGCAGTCAGACAGTTACAAGGATTTTTCACACCAGCACACATAAAGAAGCAGTCAGGCAGTTAAAAGGATTATTCACACCAGCACACATAGATAAAGAAACAGTCAGACAGTTAAAAGGATTATTCACACCAGTACACATAGATAAAGAAACAGTCAGACAGTTACAAGGATTATTCACACCAGCACACATAGATAAAGAAGCAGTTAGCCAGTTACAAGGATTATTCACACCAGTACACATAGATAAAGAAGCAGTCAGACAGTTACAAGGATTATTCACACCAGCACACATAGATAAAGAAGCAGTCAGACAGTTACAAGGATTATTCACACCAGCACACATAGATAAAGAAGCAGCCAGACAGTTACAAGGATGATTCACACCAGCACACATAGATAAAGAAGCAGCCAGACAGTTACAAGGATTATTCACACCAGCACACATAGATAAAGAAGCAGCCAGACAGTTACAAGGATTATTCACAACTGACACTAGTTTCTGTGAACACTGATACACGTAATTATGACGCTATTTACTAACTTTCCGCTGCCTCTAATTGTGTACTAGCCATTTAAGTGGGAGCAGCTAGATGCTTGCCTGTGCATCTGAAGGTCGTGGGTTCAGGCCCTGACCTTTTTTAAAGGTCCTGGCTTCCAGGTCGACTCAGTTTTGAATGGGTACAATGTAAAGTTCTCGGAAGTAAAGAAGGCCGGCGGGATATGGACCACATAAGCCACCGAGTGACGATTGATCTGTAAAAATATAGGTTGAGCCCTACATGCCTAGTATGCCTGAAGGTATGGAAAAGGGTCGTTTACTTTACTTCACCCAACTAATTACATGAGGATCTGTGACTTGGAGGGTAGTGAATCTGTTTCACAATTCTTTTTATGATTCTCGATTGCAAGGGTTCCATTTTGGAGGTGAGTGTTGTTATTGTTTTTTTTCTTCTACAAACTGGGTCGTGGTGTCCTGATGGTAGTACAAAAGTCTCACCGGAGCAGAAACTGAGGCTTCACCATGTTAATATACTCAAAAGGCAGCGAGCACCTGGTGCCCTGTAGCCATGCCTGGAAACGGCAACCACTTTTGGACTCGATGGTACACAGTGAGTACATTACCAGGCATGTGTACAACCAAGAAAACAGAGACACAAAGCGCGAGCGAGCGAGTGAGAGAGAGAGAGAGGGGGGGGCGAGAGAAAGAGAGAGAGAGAGACAGAGAGAGAGAGAGGGGGAGGGAGCGAGAGAAAGAGAGAGAGAGAGAGAGAGAGAGAGACGGAGATAATGGGGAGTGAGGCGGAAGGAGATAGTAAGCAACAAAGATAGAACAATGTCGGGTGTGTGTCACTTCTGACAACTTATCCATTAATAGTTGTTTCTATTCTCTATTTCCTGCATCTATTCTCTTTTTCCTATATCTATTCTCTATTTCCTATATCTATTTCCCATAAATATATATAAATATACACACACACGCACATGCATTTCCCATATATGTTTTATACTTCCTATATCTATTCTCTATTTCCTACATCCGTTCTTTATTTCCTACACCTATTCTCTGCTTCCTATATCTATTCTTTTTTTCCTATGTAAGTACTCCATTTCCTATAACTATTCTCTATTTTCTATACATATTCTCTATTTCCTTCATCTATTTCCTATTTTCTATATCTATGTATTTTCGATACATTTTCTCTATTTCCTGTATTTATTCTCTATTTCCTATATCCTTTCTCTATTTCCTATAAGTATTCTCTATTTTCTTCACATAGAATCCATTTCCTATATCTACTGAATATTTTCTATATATGTTCTCTATTTCCTATACCTATAATTTATTTTCTACATCTGTTCTCTATTTATGTGGCGGATGATCTCCAGATGGGTGTATCGAATCTGCGACATCTTGCTTGTGATCGAGAAGACTTCCGGAGGGTAGTTATGGGAGCAAGATTCAGCCAAGGACATACTGCTGACTGACTCTTCTCTATTTCCTATATCTGTTCTCTAGTTTATGTATCTATTCTCTTTTTCCTATATCTGTTCTCTAGTTTATGTATCTATTCTCTTTTTCCTATATCTGTTCTCTAGTTTATGTATCTATTCTCTTTTTCCTACATCTGTTCTCTAGTTTATGTATCTATTCTCTGTTTCATACATCTGTTCTCTAGTTTATGTATCTATTCTCTTTTTCCTTTATCTGTTCTCTAGTTTATGTATCTATTCTCTTTTTCCTATATCTGTTCTCTAGTTTATGTATCTATTCTCTTTTTCCTATATCTGTTCTCTAGTTTATGTATCTATTCTCTTTTTCCTACATCTATTCTCTAGTTTATGTATCTATTCTCTTTTTCCTATATCTGTTCTCTAGTTCATGTATCTATTCTCTTTTTCCTATATCTGTTCTCTAGTTTATGTATCTATTCTCTTTTTCCTACATCTATTCTCTAGTTTATGTATCTATTCTCTTTTTCCTATATCTGTTCTCTAGTTTATGTATCTATTCTCTTTTTCCTATATCTGTTCTCTAGTTTATGTATCTATTCTCTTTTTCCTATATCTGTTCTCTAGTTTATGTATCTATTCTCTTTTTCCTATATCTGTTCTCTAGTTTATGTATCTATTCTCTTTTTCCTATATCTGTTCTCTAGTTAATGTATCTATTCTCTTTTTCCTACATCTATTCTCTATTTCCTACCAGATTTACTATGTACCTGTAAGAAGAAGCCCAGTCAACGAGAGCCACGTGTACTCACCCACAAGTTAGCGAACTCGCCCCTAACAACGGCAGGGCCCAAAGCTCTGGCCGGGTTCATGCATGACCCAGATATTTTATTCTAAAATGGAGTGGAGAGAAAGCAGAAAAAAACAAAGACGAATTATTTAAAAAAAAAAAAATACTATGATCAGTGCCGACAATCGTTAATTAGCATATCTGGCCATCTACCCGATCAACTAACTCACGGATAAGGTCTTTGCTCTTGTTCTGGCTGAATTATGTGGCTAAGTCAACAAGGAATATGTCTATTTATTTTTACTTCTGGTACATAGACAGCAAGGCAGTCAGACAGACAGACAGACTGACAGGTATGTAGACAGACGGACAAACAGATAGGCAGGCTGACAAACAGGCTTAGACAGACGGACAGAGATAGACGACAGACAGACAGTTGATAATTTTAATAATAATAATGATGAGAAGAAGAAGAAGAAGAAGAAGAAGAAGAAGAAGAAGAAGAAGAAGAAGAAGAAGAAGAAGAAGAAGAAGAAGAAGAAGAAGAAGAAGAAGAAGAAGAAGAAGAAGAAGAAGAAGAAGATGAAGAAGAAGAAGAAGAAGAAGAAGAAGAAGAAGAAGAAGAAGAAGAAGAAGAAGAAGAAGAAGAAGAAGAAGAAGAAGAAGAAGAAGAAGAAGAAGAAGAAGAAAGAAGAAGAAGAAGAAGAAGAAGAAGAAGAAGAAGAAGAAGAAGAAGAAGAAGAAGAAGAAGAAGAAGAAGAAGAAGAAGAAGAAGAAGAAGAAGAAGAAGAAGAAGAAGAAGAAGAAGAAGAAGAAGAAGAAGAAGAAGAAGAAGAAGAAGAACAAGAACAAGAACAAGAACAAGAAGATGGCCCAGACCATAGTCAATGACGTCATCATCATCATCATCATGTGCCCTGCCAACTGGCGTAGGCTCTCATGCGTCTCCACAGGTCCCGATCCTTGGTTGTCTGGAACAGCTTTCTTGATGATATCCCGCCATGCCATCGTTTTAGCCCATCCAGCATCATCTCTGTGGGTCTGCCTCTACCCGTTTTTTCACTGGCCTTTTTAGTTGTCATGATGTTCTCCAATGCCTTTCTTCTCATTATGTGACCAAAGAACAGTGTTTGTCTCTTTCTTATCGTTGTATATAGAGATCTACTTTCATTAGCTTCTTTCAAGCAATCGTTGTTAGTTACTCTAGCCGTCCAAGGTATTTGTAACATTTGTCTCAGAAACCACATCTCTGCTGCTTCCAAATTGTTCTTAATTTGTTCAGTGTCATTCCAGGATTCGCTGCCATACAGCAGAACAGGTCCTATGTAACATTTTAGCATCCTCTTTCTGACATTAAATAAGAGCGATTTATTGCATAAGATATTAGTCAATGAAGCTTAACACAAGCCCCTGATTGAGACGGAAAATTTAAATTTGTTCAATATCTTCTTAAGCCGACACTTTTAGTGCTATCAGATCTTTCCTGGCGCTAAGTATGACCCGGTTTACGCGATATTTATATAACAAGCAGAACGCTAAGATTTCTCGAGGCTTCCGCGATTCGTCACCTGCGCCCGGAACTCTGTATTCAGAAAGAGATGGTTCTGTCTTTACGTCTGCCCTGGTAAAAACAGGCAGTCATGTTTAATCGTTGTTGAAATTGTACTTCAGTTATAAAGGATTAACTTATTTGCTTTATTTATGTAATTGTTACTGTAGTGTGCACCTGACAAGATACAGCGAAATATGCCAGGCAATAAATTGTGCAATCTATTGTTTATGTCTTTTTTGTTCAAATATAACAAGCATCTGCGATTTGTCATAGCCAGGTATTTTATCGTGTCTATTCTCATGATGTCTATACTACACATGCTCACGACTGGCGTAAGTGTACTGACAATGTTGGCATTCAGAGAGAACGGATGCCTTGGTCTACTGTAAAACAGAAAAAGTGAGTTTATATGATCTGTATAGAAGCAAACTTGAAAAAAAAAAAGAGAGAGCTTCTTTAATCATGGGATAAAGGCAACTTATCGTCCTTCCAGGAAATGGGGAAGAAGAAAGGGGGAAAACGGGGGGGGAGCTCAAGGACTCTGGTTTATGTATCCCCACCGCTAGTGTGCATGTGTGTGTGTGTTTGGGGGGGGGGGGAGCTCAAGGACTCTGGTTTCTGTAACCCCACCGCTAGTGTGCATGTGTGTGTGTGTTTGGGGGGGGGGGGGGCTCAAGGACTCTGGTTTCTGTATCCCCACGCTAGTGTGCATGTGTGTATGTGTGTGTGGGGGGGGAGGGGCCCTCAAGGAATCTGGCTGCTGTATCCCTGCCACTACGGTACATGTGTAAGCCATGTTAGGCCTGCCTTGAACACGGAACCCATACAGAGGAAGCACTTACAGCGATCAGTGTGTTGACAACAATCGTCAGACCCACGATGAGAGGGGCCGACACTTGGGCGTTGTGTCTTCTCTTGTCCGACGTTGCCACCACGACCATCAGTAGAAAGGTTGTGATGATGAATTCCGTGCACAGAACCTGAGGAGCAGCATGTGTCTTTTAATTACTCTATCTCTCTCTCTCTCTCTCTTTCTTTCTTTCTTTCTCTCTTTCTTCCTCTGTGTATGTGTGTGTGTGTGTGTGTGAATGTGTTTACAAGACTACATCGCTTCGTTCATCTCTCTCTCTCTCTCTCTCTCTCTCTCTCTCTTCGTGTGTATTTGCAGTCTCTCTCCTTCTCTCGCTGTCTGTATTTTTCAGTCTATCCATCCCTGCATCCATCCACCCATCCATCTACCTGTCTACAAAATAAAGTTCTGTCTATTCATATGTCTGTCTGTCTGTCTGTCTGCTTTCCTGCCTGCCTGTATATCTGTCTGTATGTCAATATGTCTATTTCTCAGTAAGTCCATTTGTCTGTCTGCTATCTGTCAATCTGCTGGCTGTATGTATATTCATCTGTCTGTAAGTATGTATGGCTATCTATTTAATTATTTGTTTACCTGTTTGTCACCCAGTGTGTGTTTCTTTGTTTATCACCCAGAGTGTGTTTCTCTGTTTGTCACTCTTAGTGTGTTTCTCTGTTTGTCACCCAAAGTGTGTTTCTCTGTTTATCACCCAGAGTGCGTTTCTCTGTTTGTCACTCTTAGTGTGTTTCTCTGTTTGTCACTCTTAGTGTGTTTCTCTGTTTGTCACCCAGAGTGTGTTTCTCTGTTTGTCACCCAGTGTGTGTTTCTCTGTTTGTCACCCAGATTGTGTCTGTCTGTCACCCAGAGTATGTTTCTCTGTTTGTCACCCAGAGTGTGTTTCTCTGTTTGTCACCCAGAGTGTGTTTCTCTGTTTGTCACCCAGAGTGTGTTTCTCTGCTTGTCACCCAGAGTGTGTTTCTCTGCTTGTCACCCAGTGTGTGTTTCTCTGTTTGTCACCCAGAGTGTGTTTCTCTGTTTGTCACCCAGTGTGTGTTTCTCTGTTTGTCACCTAGAGTGTGTTTCTCTGCTTGTCACCCAGAGTGTGTTTCTCTGCTTGTCACCCAGTGTGTGTTTCTCTGTTTGTCACCCAGTGTGTGTTTCTCTGTTTGTCACCCAGAGTGTGTTTCTCTGCTTGTCACCCAGAGTGTGTTTCTCTGCTTGTCACCCAGTGTGTGTTTCTCTGTTTGTCTGCCTTAGTGACGTGTTTATGCAGCACAAATTAAAATCCGTGTTACCTGCCCAATCGTAATTTTCAGCCCAGGGGAAATCACTCCAAGATTACCAATCAGATGCGGATGACTAACCTCCCTTAACAACATGGACCCAGAAATGGCTCCAACACACTGACAGATTATGTAAAATGCGGCCCTTAGAAGGATATATTTAAGAACAAAAATTACCCACATGCAAACAGATTTAAGAAGAAGGCAATAGTTAAACATTTCAAGATAGCGTCAAATTCCAATAAGTGATTATGAGAAATACAACTATTTTTTTTTTTAGCGTGACCATTGTCACGGGATAGATTTGAAATGCCTTTTGAATTGGAGGAAAGTGTGCTTTATAGATATCCAGTTTTGTCCTTTTTTAGGCGACATTTTTTGTTATTTGAAGCCCCACCCAGGGGCCGCAATATAGGCAGGCCATAAATATGGCTAATTGTCTGAACGCGGTTTCTGGGACCTCTCCACGGCGATCCTCATCCACATGGTGGCACTTTGTGTCATCGGGTGTTTATCGCTTGTGTGATGTCCTGGTGGGATAGAAAGTCAGTCAGTCAGTCGGAAAGTGTGTTTAAAAAAATAAACAACTTAAAATAAAGCAGTAGAAAGATGTGAATGAACTACTGCAGTGCGTCAAACAAACTGAAATCCCCCAATCAGCTGCCCAGTTTGTGACGCGGCAAAAGTGGCTGAGTGGTCTCAAGGCATGGCGTCTGCCTCGAGTTCTACAGTTCCCGGGTTCAAGTCCCAGTGAAGACTGGGATTTTATTTATATTGACTTCTAATAATTTCCTCTGGTCTCTGGGCAGTAAGATGGGACGCCCGTGTGTATTGTTGCGCATGTAAACAATCACTTGGCAGTTGGAAACCCCCAAAAAAGCTGCCCAACAGCACTGCGCGGGCAAAATTTTGAGTTGAAAACATACCTAAAGTAGTTCAGGATCTTCACCGGTGCTACGGAGTTCGTGCACTGGGCTGAGATTCTTCGGACTCAGGCTTGAGTTAGAAGTAGAACGGAGCACTTATGGGTTACTACCCTTGAGCCATGATGTTGATCCGTTGTTCAAACCTTCAGACAGAAATGCAAAATGGACTCACAAGTTGAAGTCGGCAGAGACCGGGACCCCGAAAATGGCCAGACATGCAGTTCTAGATGGAGATTGCAGAGAAAGGCTTTTCACCTACATTGCCAACATTACAGCTTGTGTCAGTAAGAGAATGTAGATACATGTTTCTAACTGTAAAAAAAATAATAGTTATTTGGGAAAACCAAGCGAAGTGGGTGATAAAAATGGCGACCGGAGGAAGGACAGCAGACAGCCTGGATATCTGCAAAGGGTAGCTGGGGTTCGTCTAAGGGAAATATTAATGCATTGTTACATTTTAAATATGTGGAATGGAACACTGGAATATGCAGCTTGTGACGGTGTAAGATGTCTACGTAAATATATGTCAGGAAATTAATACGCATTCATATTGTATATCGGCAGTTACTGTTCTGGAACAAAATGGCTTGGGTCACACAGTGTTCAAAAATGATTGTGAACACAGGATAGTGTTTACCTGCTATGTCATAGTATTGAAATGTTTATTCGTGTATTTATGCTGTGATCAAAGGATCAGTGTGCATGTCTATTTCCATGAATGCATTTAAAAGAGAAATGCTTTATCTATCAACTCTCAAATGAGCTGTGCTGTAGCTGTTCAGTACATGTCTGTGGAAGATGTTCATGTATCTTTCAATTTGTATACCTGATGTTAGGAGATGATCCTACTGCTTATACTTCAGATTCATGTCTTTATTCCATATATAGGGGTAGGACATGATTCAACCCATCCCAATACGGTAAATGACAACATGTTGGGTGTAAAAGCCTATATGTAACTCTTTATTCAAGTGGGTTGTGCAGTGATCTTCATTGTTATTAATTGCTGGCTTGAATGAGTCACCGCATCTTTCCATTCACCAACTGACAAGAACGAGAAAACATGGACGCTGGCAGACGTTCAGAAGTTACGCGTACTGTTTATTTTCACTCGCTGATGTTGCAGTCAGTAAATGTTTATACACGACAATATCACTCATCAATGCTCTAAACAGTCAACCATACCTTTGTAACATCGTAGAATTTACACAACTCAAAGAAACACAGTAGCTCCCTCCATCCAGACGACAGTCATTCACAGCTGGCCACCGTTTCCGTCAGCCGCTATTTTATGCCAGGTAGGCATTGGGAAATCACGCTATTCAGACGTCAACATTCTTCCGAACACACACACCTTCCCTTGGCCTAAACGAGACTGCCTCACAAACCTTTCTTCGCTATTATATAGCCCTCTGATCTGTCATGCTCTCGAACATTCTGGATAATTTCATTCTCACGAATTCCCCACCGTTGAAAGTCGTGTCTGGCCCGTGATAATTCGCATTTCACACGAATCCTGCCAGTCAACCTTCATGGTTCACGTGAACAATCATGTTTCACATAAAACCTGACTTTCAGATGTCTCTCATGAAACTCAAGACATAAATCTCGTGATCTCAGTCAGTCAAAACATTCGCCTTACATTTATTACTGACGTCATCTATCGGGCATAACTTAATGAGGAGAAAATGACTCACTACAGGTTGATTCTGGTGCTCATTCTTAGAGGTGTGCTTGGAATCTAGCGTTCTCGAGTCCCAGTGTGGCTTTCGATGGAGCCGATCTACCACTGATATGATATTTTTATTACGACTGTTGCAGGAAAAATGCCGCGAACAAAATCAACTACTGTATGTTGCTTTTATTGATCTTACCAAGGCATTTGATTTGGTTAGTCGAAACGGTCTGTTTAACGCACTGAAGAAGATTGGGTGTCCACCTACCCTACTGAGCATTATTGAGTCGTTCCACACAGGTATGAAAGGTACAATCAACTTTGATGGTGTAACATCGGAGGATTTTTTAAATAAAAAATGGAGTGCAGCAGGGGTGTGTACTTGCTCCTACCCTCTTTGGAATATACTTTTCACTTCTTTTGACACACGCCTTTCGAGATAAGGAGGGTGGTATTTTCATTCATTCTCGATCTGACGGCAGCCTTCACAATGCGCGCAGGCTGAAGGCTGAAACCAGGATAAGAAAAGTGCCTAAGAAGAATATTGGGCATTAAGTGGCAGGACAAAATCACAAACACTGAGGTACTGGAAAGAGCAGGTACTACAACAGTCTTTTCCATGCTCAGTCTACAAAGACTCAGGTGGCTGGGCCACACATGAGGAATGGAGGATGGCAAAGTCCCTAAGGGCATCCTTTATGGGGAATTAAAGACAGGAAGAAGATGTCGAGGCCGACCTCTACTACGTTATAAAGATGTGTGCAAGCGGGACCTGAATAATACAGGTATTGAGGCGGACTCATGGGAACAAAATGTCATGGGCCGTGTTGTGTGGAAAGGGCATTTCAGGAAGGGAATAAGACTAAAGGAAGAAATGATTGCAGAAAGGGTCCTTAAATCCCAATGCATCATTGTGGAAGACTGTTCTTGCCACGAGCGCGGGTCCTTGCTAGTCACACTCGCCAAAACCCGCCGATGCGGTATGTGTCTCATGGCTCCTCATAGTGCAATATAATACTATCCTCTGGAAAGACGGAAAGGTGCCAATGAATGGTTTGGAATCCTTACAGGTCTTATCTTTCTGTTCAAGGATATAGGCATGTGTAGGAGATAATAGCATGAGAGCAATATATGTGTGCTGACATAAGAACTAACTGATATATCATCCATATGTGCCGTTTTATAATATTATATTTGTACTGTAATGTATTATGGGGAACAGCATCCTTGAATGGGATGGTTGGATTGGATGTAGGGAGACCTCTTTTTAAGGGCCTATTCATAGGGGATGATTATCCTCTGTCATTATGTGGATACTCTGTACACCTTTTTAAGGAATATCTTTGGAGATTCCAATCTCTTACACAGGCCAGCAGCGCCAGCATCACAGTCCAGCGCAGACAGCCCAGTCGGACACAGCTCTCTCTCGCTCGCTCGATTTACCGCCCGATCAGCCACGTGTCTCTCGATAGCTTGCTAACTATCCATTCGCAGCACAGGCTTATCATAGCTGAGTAACTGGTCAGGAACTCGCTTGACAATTCGTCTGAGTTTGGCTCGACTACACTATTGTTATTCGTCTGCGGTGGGTTATTAGCGGCCCGGGGAGCACATCATTGTTGAGAGCGTCACACCAAAAAAGCCAGTTTTTTTAAACGATTGTCCTCGAGACTGCGGAGTAAAAGCACGCTTGGGTGTCCCTCTCCAGGATACATCTAACAAGCCTTGCCATACTCTGCAGGGACCGAGCAATCAATTGCCGCCCGACTTCCAAGCTCAGCCACACGAAACCATGGCCCTGGTACGAAGATCCGGTCGCGCGCCGGGGACAACCAGAGCCATCCTCAGCCAAAAAGGAGGAAGCACGCTGTCCGCCGCACCAGAACTGACGAGCCATAACCCGTCGACGACCCTGATGAGACACCAGCTCACACACCCAGACGCCGCCAGCCCTGGATGTAGTCCCTATCGCGCACCCGTTCTACCGAGCAAGCTCGTCCCCAGTCGTGGCGCAGGAACCGATGCAACACCCTCCACCCACTCAGGCAGCAGCAGCAACGAACGCGTTGGAGGCCGTACACCACAGACGTTTTGGCAGTGTCTCTTCGCTGCAACAATGCGTGGCACTCTGCCTCTGTCATGCCGCAGCAGCCCATCGTGCCGTTTACTGTTCCGGCCTCCACGTTATTCAGGGAATGCCCTCTAGCAAAAGTGGACCCTGACTTTAAAAAGAGCCGAACGCAAGCAGAATATGTTCCAACTGCTCCGTTGCACACAAGCGCGCCTGTACATGGGTTGCCCGTACCTTAAGAGATTCACGAGAGCTATGGCGAATAACCACGCCACTCAGGACCTCACCACAAACCAGAAGCCCGAACCAAAGATATCAGGCGCCCAGTCCGACAGCTGTGAACAACAACGTCATTGACGACAGCTGAGCGACGAAAATCAAATCCCTGCGAGAAGAGAACGCAAGAATCATTGCACTCAAGCTCCAGACAGGACGAGATGATAGACCGGAGAAGCATCCTGCAGGAATCTCCT